GAAAGAGTGACGCACATCGCTAAGAGTACTCAGAACAACAAACTTCTGGCCTGTCAATTCCTGAGATGGTATCAGATCAGGAATGCAAAGAAGGCACAACTCTCTCTGGCAGGTAAACATTACCAGCATTTCTTAATGTGGCATTTCAGAAGCTCCAAAAAGTACCAATGGCCAAGTAGTTTAAAAAATCCAGCAATTCGTAATACTACGTATGGATTGGGGACATTGCAAACAATCTAGAGGCCAGAGAACTGACCTATTTATCTAGAGTACATTTCTGCAGCCTAAGTCAATCCAACCACAGGCTGCTGTCGCCCCCTCAACAGATAGCCTTGCCCGCTCTCCGAGTTTTCCTTGTGCCAGCACTAGGGAGTGTGAAGTTGTGCAGTCAGCCAGATCAGCTCACTGATTTGGATGATTATTGTTATTTAAGCTGTCACATGGTTACTGGTGTCAGCCAGGAGCTAGGGGTGGCAGATTGCCTTAAAATGACCATAAAGTTGCACTTAATCCTGAGCAGCCTACTTCAGGAAGTAAACCAGGCATTCCAAGTTCGCTCTCCTCCGCTTCCCCCCCCCAAGTATCTTGCAATCAAATCTACCAAGACAGCATTAAACCATATATAACCAACTTCCTGAAATAATATTAGAGACCACTCCTCATTAAAGAGCTTTTAACTGCCACAGTGGCCTCACTGTAATACACAAGAGATGATCTTCAGCTTTCCATGAATAACTACATTTTGTAGGCAGAATGACTTTGGTTGCCTTAGTTTGCTTTTCTAAAGCATCTTCTTAAGGATTGGGCTGAAGGCCCAAGGCAGAAGTCTCCTATGCTTTGCTTAACAAGTTAGCTCCACAAGAACTTTGACATTCTTACACTGGCTTTAACTTTTCTGTTTCCCACAAATATTCCAACTATAGTGTATTTAGATCAAGTCAGACACAAATGTAAGGTTTTGGAAAAAAAAAAAATGAACTTACAGTTCTTAAAAATAGTCCTTGAAATTCTTCACTATGGTCTTGCAGCATGTCAAGTTCTAACATTCTATACATTATACTATTGAGAGATAGAGCATGAAAAAAGCAAAAAATAAAATCCACTCTGAAGGACACTGTATTACAATTTCAGTTTTCATCAGCTAAGAGTTGTTAGACTAGCAGTGACCTCTGGTTTTAAAACTATTTTGACTGCACGCTCCTTTTTAGCCATTCTAGTTATAAACAGGTTCGAAAAGCCATCCAGGCTAATCTAGTTCACCATTTTTCAGAAGTAACTGTAGATAATATGATTGGTTTCTCCAGAAAGAAAAAAATATTTTAAATGAAACAAATTATAAGCCTTAAGATGGTATATAATTTGTGTTCAGATACAAACTGATTACAACTTTCTGAAAACAACCAAAATGACTTGTAAACACCTCCATAGCTCCGAAGATGGTGTGAAATCTTGACAACAAAACCAAAAAAGAAAAAAAACATAGTAACTTCCATATGTCAGGTAACTTACCACAATAACAGCATTCAACAATAACTCTGTTAAAATAGAAATAAATGCTGATGTTTATGAAAAATGCAATCTATAGACCTCTGAGGAGCTCAGATACTATCAACTTCCTGCA